AACTAAGTGTAAGTATGATGCAACTGAGACTTAGTGCAGACAAAAAAATAAGAGAAATATTTTTTTAAAAAGTGTACCCAGTTCACAGTGTGGGTTTGATACAGAACATACGACTTGAGTTACAAAAATACTGACACATGCTGCAAAGACTTTGGCATTAATTCTCAGGTCTTTGGCTGGTTTCTGAGTCGCCTGTATCACCTGGTCTGAAGCCTTCCCAGCTACATTTCCCCACTTCTCAAAGACAAACCTCACTTTCTTACACATTTTCCAAGTTTCAGTTTTTTAAAGAACTCTTACAAACCCCCTGACCCACCACCACTCTTTAAGACTTGATTAGTTCCCCCATTACGCTCCTTTACAGATTAAATTATGTTTCCTAAAAAGATACGCTGGGCTTCACAGGTGGCTCATTGGTAAAGAATCCACCTGCAGGAGACGCAGGCTTGAGTCCTCATCTGGGAAGATCCCCTGGAGAAGGAAATGGCGACACACTCCCATATACTTGCCTGGGAAATCCCAGGCAGAGGAGCCCGGCAGGCTATAGTCCATGGGGTCGCAAAGAGTTGGACAGGACTTAGCAACCAAACAACAATAACCACAAAATGGTATGTTGAGGTCCTATCCCCAGGAAACTGTGAAAGTGACTTTCTTTGAAAATAGGGTCTTTGTTGATGTAATCAGGTTAAGATGAGGTCATCAGGTAGTCCCTAATCCCGTAAGACTGATGTCCTCATAGAAAGAAGAGGCACACAGGGAAAATGCCATGTGACAACAAAGGCAGAGCTTAAAGTGATGAAGCCAAGGATTATCCGCCAGAAGCTGGAAGAGGCAAGGAAGAATCAGGATCATACCATCCAGACTTCACAGAAAGGAAGGCCCTAAGGACACCCAGATTTTGGACTTCTGACCTCCAGAACTATGATAGAATAAATCTCTGCTGTTTTGTCTTGTAATGTTTTTATTTGCTTTTTTTTTTTTAGTAATTATCAAAGATTATAACTGTACAATATCGAGAAGTATAGAACAAGATGCAATTATTGGAGGACAACCACCCTGCAATATGGTGTTGGCCTCTGCGACACATCAACACTATCTTTGCTGTTTTAAGCCACTCAGTCTGTGGTTCTTTGTTACAGCACATAGGAAGTGAACAGACACCCTCCCCTGTGGTATTTCTTTGATGGCCATCTGCTGGGTCAGTGTCAGTCCCATGAGGGCATCAGTCTTGTCGCGCCTGCTGTGATACCCTTGGAGAGCACATAGTAGGACCTCAATAAATAGTCCTCTCCTACAGGCATGCGTGGACGTCCCTCCGCTCCACGCTAGTTGAATGTTATCCCGGCCTGTCACTGTTTGTGTCGTCTCAGAACCACACAGCCATGGACAGCGACCATTTGGCTGGATTGTTTGACCCCGATGGCTCAAGCGGTAAAGAATCAACCTGCAAAGCAGGAGCTGCAGAAGACGCACATTTGATCCCTGGGTCGGGAAGATCTCCTGGAGGAGGAAATGACGACACACTCTGGTATTTTGCCTGGAAAATCCCATGGACAGAAGAGCCCTGGGGTCCTAAAGAGTCAGACAGGATGGCACATGTGATGGGCAGATGGATGGATTCTCTCACTGGGACACACAATGAGGACCCTGTAAATTCAGAAGGGCCTAGAGACTTGGGTCTGCCCAGTCTAAGTGTCTTAATCCCGCTGGTCGAAGGGTACCCTGAGGATCATCTCAGCCCTGCCCAGTAGGCGCCTCACCCCCTGAGTAATTAACTAATGGGTAGTTTAGAAGTAATTAGACTCCTATCAGAAATGGAGAGCCAAGCCTTCTTTGGGAGTCTGGAAACAGAGATTATCTACAATGCACAGGCCTCAAACCCAGGGAAATAAACCTAAAAGCTCCATGGATTGAATCGAACTCCCTGCCTCAAAGTGAAGAATGCACCGGCTCCCAGCAATCTTACAGCCTGAGCTGTATTCAGCCGCCAACCTTTCTCCTAAATTGCCCATCCCAGATAGACCATTATTATAATGAAATACCTCAGCCGGGAATGTTCTGGGTTTCAGCTAAAAGGTTTCCTTTCTGACTGCTGTGCTCACAGGCGCTGCTTTAATTTGGGGGAACTTCCTCTTGGCTGTCTTGAAAAAGACTTCGACAGGTCTCTTTCTATTTTATTTGATTTGCTTCATTTCGGTGTGTGGGTCGGCGTCCCCCCATCCTAATGATGATGAAAACTGGAAAAGATGGGGCAGCCCCAAGAAAGGATTAAGAAAAGAGAGCCATCATTTTAGTGAGGGAGACATGGGCACAAAGCCTCAGGTTCTGGAAGGTTCTGCATCCTTCTGCCCTCTGGGGGACAGAGAGCTGAAGGGAGGAGGTCAGACCTGGATGTTGGCAGCCTCTGGACCCTCCAGGCCTCCCTGTTGGAACTGTGAGTTACAATGGTCATTGCACAAGGCTATCCCAGGAGACTCTGACTTTAAGAGAAGTGTTAAAGCTAAATTCTGAAATGCTGAGAACTCAGACTTAAAGGAGGCTGAGTGCATGGAGGGCTGGTCAAGATGAGAAATACAGGGCCTGCTGTATTTTGATGTCCAATTTATGTGATGTTATGTCTCTTCCAGCCTCCATCCTGGGTCTAAAACTGGTGATCCCAGGACCAACTCTGGCCCTCAGACGTATTCAGTTTAATTTGCCTAGTGTTTTTGGTTTTATAGCTTTTAATGCAATTTTATTAAGCAGTCAAAACTTTTTAAATGAGAGATTTCACACTAAAATTGAAAAATCAGAAAATCTAGTCTGCTAAGCCAGTCTCTTCTGTCCCCAGTTACATGGAGAACGTCTACCCTTACCCTCCTCGCTCAGTCCTCTTAGAGGCCTGGCTCTGGTGAACAGATGGTTTGGGACACAGTGCCCTAGGCAACATCACCCTCCTATATAGTCTACAGTAACAAAGCAAATGTCATCCTTTCACAAAGACTCTCCGCCTTTCTCAGAAAGATTCCCTCCCAGTACTATCATAGGTTTGCGTTTCATCTGCCAAACTCCTTTGGGTATAGGTCCCCCCCTCCATCTGGGTTATCTGAAATAACTCCATTCATCTCTCATGATGCAGCACTTATGTCACCTCTTCCAGAAAGCCTTCCCAGATTATTCCTCCTTCCCACCTCTCCAGGATAGGTTAAGCACCCCTCCTTTGTGCTATCATTAGCAAGCAGTCTCCCTCCACCCACCCCAACACACACACACAAACTCTCAGCACCATGCATCAAAATGTCTGTTTCTCCATCATCCCTGCTGGACAGTGAGCTCTGTGCAGATGGAGGGCTGCATGTGAGTTCTATAAACTCAGTATGAAGTTTGGAACCTGGCCCCTGGGAGGGTCTCTGAAAGTGTTTGAATAGAGAGAGTGGGGCAGAGAGGAAGAAGGTGCTCTTAGCACAGGGCAGTCAAATGCTGACAGTAAGAATACAAGATTATACATGTATTTTTATACATGATTATAAAAATAGTAAAAGTAATAAGAAGGATAGTGCCTAACACCTATTGGGGACTTTCTAATGTGAGCTTTTAACAAATTAGCTCATTGTGTTAGGTAGGTCTCTTGGGAAGCAGATGCCTAGATGGAATCAAATCAAGAGATGTGTCTAAGATGCCTGTAAAGGATGGGGGCGGGGCAGAGGCCTCATGCAGAATACAGGGCGGGTCTGACCCCTGGGAAGGGAGAGGAGGAGGAGGGGAAGGGACTGGGCAGGGATTGCTAAGACTGCGGCACTGAGAAGCTCTCAGTCAATGCGCGACAGCAAGGGTCCAACAAGGACCACTGGGCAGAGGAGTCGTGAGCTGGGCAGGAGGGGTGTGGCTCTTGCAGCTCGGGCATGCGCAGTCATTGGCTGGAGGGGTGTGGTGGTGAGGGGGTTAGTTCAGGGACAGAGTGTCCTGGTTATGAACGCTGCAGAGGAACTGAAGATGGGTCATCTGGGGGCTGTCCACCAGCCCCTTCCTCGCAGCTGGGAGGTCTGAGTGTCCCACTGCTGCAGCACCTGTTACATCCGCAGGAGAATGCCTGAAAAGCCACTGTTCTGATTTGCCCTTTAGCAGAGGATGAAACCTGACTTTGGCAAAGTGGGTGATGTGACCCAAGGTCGCACACACGACTCTCAAAGATGGAAGCAGATATTAATACCAGACTAGCCGGCTCCCAATTGTGTGTGTCTGTAGTCGCCCTGCCCTGGGAATCAGGGATCTCAGCAACACTTGAAGAAAGAGGGTGATGGCTTAGAGGGGGGAGCTGATGAATCAAGGCCTGTTTTACTGATGGGGAAGGAGTATGAGGCTCTGGGCTAGGAGCTGACTTGTCCATCCCAAAGTGAGGCCCGCAGTCATGCCCAATCCTCCTGGCTTCTCTCTGCATTTCAGAGGAATGAGACTCAGAGGCCCTAATGCTGGGGCTTAACAGAAGGTAGATTTCCACCAGCTCCTGTCACCCCTCACCTCCCCACTCCCTAGTAATGATATAATACCAGTCAATACCTAAATAACAACTTTATGTGCTAGAACTGTTGAAGCATGACATCTTTGTACTCCATTAACCCTCCTGGCAGCCCTATGGTGCAAGCACCTTTTCATTCTCCCATTTCACAGAGATAAAATTGAGGCCCCGAGACAGGAAGATGTTTACCCAAGGCCACAGCCCCAAAGGTGAGATGCAAGCCCACTGGGTGCTATGCATAAGGGCTCTGCTACCCTGGGTCGGGAAGATTCCCTGGAGGAGGGCATGGCAACCCGCTCCAGTATTCTTGCCTGGACAATCCCATGGACAGAGGAGCCTGGCTGGCTACAGTCCATAGAAACGACTTAGCACATACAGCTTCAGCAAAGCAGGCAAAGAACGTATTTGACAGACTTGTTGCATGAACAGCATCTTTGGGAAAAAGATGGGTCTCATTGATCTGTAAAATACAGATGTTGTTCAAAAGCAGAAGCTTCCTAAACATCTAAAGATGCAGTCTTAAGATGCACAGCCCCCTGACCCCCAGATTGCAAGCCGCGGGGGTGGGGGGCGGCAGGGACACGGGCCTCCTCTCAGAGGGGCAGGTGGAGGAGGGCGGGATCAGGGTTCCCGAGGGCGCCGGGCTGGTGGCGTGCAGGTCCAGGGCGCTCTGTCCAGCGGCGGTCACTGGCCTGCGTGCGAAGGCGAGGCCGCACCCCCGCGCCTCCGCTCGCGCCGTGCCTGCCGCCGCCACCCGCCCGGCCTCCCGGCCGGCCACGGAGCGGCCGCCGCAGACTCGGCGGCGCCAGCGCACCTGCAATAAGGCCCCGCTGCCGCCGCCTCGCGCCCAAGGCCGCCCGCCCGCGCGCCGCTGATAAGACGAGGGAGGGGGGCGCAGGGCGCAGGGGGAGGTGCTAGTTTTTTTCCCTTCGTCGCTTCTGGCCCTGTCTCTCCCCAGAGCCTTTGCCCCGGCCATCCCTCTTCTGTCTGTGTGCGTCTCCTCTGAGTCAGTTTCCTGTGCCCCCACCTCATCATATGTGTGTGTGTCTTACTGATTCTCTCCATCTCTCTCTTCTTATTTTTATATTTTCAAAATTGGCATTAGGTATTACCGAAATAAAGAAATAACTCTTAGAACGCCAAGTGCTTTTATTTGAATGAAAGCACCTTATTATTTGAAAGACGCAAAAGCAAGAAAATACAGCAGAAACGTATCCACATCTTTCAGTAATTGTCTGTGTGATGGGTAAATGCCATTTAGAACCCTTTTCAATAGAAAAATGATTTCTTTATTACCGTCTCTCTCTCCTTTTTGATCTTTCTTGCACTGAATCACCCCATGCCTGTTTGCTCTTGTTTAATCTGTTAAGTATTTTGCGACCCCATGGGCTGTAGCCCGCCAGGCTCCTCCGTCCGTGGGATTTCCCAGGCAAGAATGCTGGAGTGGGTTGCCATTTCCTACTCCAGGAGATCTTCCTGACTCAGGGATCGAACCGGAGTCTCCTGCATTGGCAGGTAAATTCTTTACACTTGGGCCTCCTGGGAAGCCCGTTTCCTCTCTTCCTCCCTTCTCTCCCTCTCTCCCTGTGGCCTGTTCCCTTTCTCTCTTCCTTCCCATGTCTTCTCACTCTGGCTCCCCCCTCCTTCTCTCCCCTTTCTCTCTCCCTCTCTTCTCTTCCGGTTTCTGGGCCACTCTCTGCCCTCTTTCCCCTCTCCCCTTCCTTTCTGCCTCTGCCCACCTCCCGGCACCCTGGCCTCTTCCACCCCCAGTCTCAGAGGCCAGTGGCTCTCTGTCTCTCTGCAGGCACCGTCTCCTGTCTGCCTGCAGAAGCCAGGCCTCCAGAGCCAGCTGGAGCAGGAACAGCTGGACTCCAGGTGGGTGAGGCTCAGCAGGTGTCCTGACATCAGTGGGCAGGGACTGCTCACCTGGCATCTTTCATCTGAGGCTCTCCACACACTTCACAAACAGTCATTAAGGCCCGCCTGGGGGCAGGCCGGAGAAAATATCACAGCCTGGGCTGTTTGGTTATCTTCATTATTAATACGCAACCCGCTCTCCTTTAAATGAGTTTAGTGCTGGGGACAGAATCCCGGCTGACGCCCAAGAGATTAAGGTCTCTCTGGGTTGCACAGGACAAGGATGACAAACCGATAGAGCAGGGACCTGAGATTCTGTTGCTTCCTTCCTGCTGGGAGTTTAGGGGCTGTGCTTTCTGAGAGCACTCCCGAGGTCAAGAGAGGAAGCCAAATCATTCATTTCTCAGAATGGATGCTGACCCAGGTAGTCTACTAGACAGGTAGCCCTGCCTCCTCCTGGGAAGAGGCAAGCAGGGATCCCAGTGAAAACTCAGTCTCTTTCAGCTCAGTTCAGTTCAGTCGCTCAGTCGTGTCCGACTCTTTGCGAACCCATGAACCACAGCATGCCAGGCCTCCCTGTCCATCACCAACTCCCAGAGTTTACCAAACCCATGTCCATTGTGTCGGTGATGCCATCCAACCATCTCATCCTCTGTCGTCCCCTTCTCCTCCTGCCCTCTATCTTTCCCAGCATCAGGGTCTTTTCAAATGAGTCAGCTCTCTGCATCAGGTGGCCAAAACAGTCTCTTTGCTCTTGGCTAAATCATGGGGCTTCCCTGGTGGCTCAGTGGTAAAGAATCTGCCTGCCAATGTAGGAGATGTGGGCTTGATCTCTGAGTTAGGAAGATCCCCTGGGGAAGGAAATGGCAACCCACTCCAGTATTCTTCCATGGAGAACTTCATGGACAGAGGAGCCTGGTGGGCCACAGTCCGTGGCCCCAAAGGGTCGGACACGGCTAAGTGCCTAAACAACAACAAAAAATCAGGAAGAGTGGCAGGAAGAGCAGTATCCAGGCTTTATTTCAATATTCTTGTTTTTTGTTTGTTTGTTTTTTAAATCAGGTAGTACATCCAGATATTACCTACCAGATAAACCCTCAGAATTTGCAAGCATGGACAACATAGGTATTGGATCCAGGGCAAAGCCTCTGGGCAGAGAAGGCTGTGCCAAAAGCATATTAATGGGCAGCAAAAGTTCTGCCTTTTAAAGGCAATGTAAATCCACATTTAAGCCAATTTTCTCAATCAATGTTCCCTGCCACCAGACTCTCCAAAAGGGAGATTTCTGACATCTGCTCTGGTGGTGACAGTCTCAACTACAGAATTGCTTATTGTTTAAGCACCTATCTCCTGTAAATAATGTGTTCATGAAAGCCCCTGAGATGGCTGAAATGGGAAAGGGCGATGCTGACAAACTGCTATGACCATTTCAGTATTTTCTACCAGCTCTGCGTCAGTATCAGAAGTTATTGGTATAATACTGTTATTGAAAAGCCTCACTGCGTGATCTCAGGCAAGACACTTGGCCTCTTTGGGCCTCCTCCATAAAATAAGATAAAGATTTCTTTGGCTCCTTCAACTCTCTGGCCAGACCTTTTCTATCTTCTGATCTCACACACACATTCCCCATAGGAAAGACCTAAAGTAAATATCTATTCCATGGTTGTGGGTCACACTGTCTGTTCTAAACCACTGTTTTTTTTTCTATTTTTTAAATGTGGGAGGGATTATTTTTTAAATAGACAAATCTAATAGCATACCATGACATTTTATTTAAAGAAATGCTAGGGTATATTCTCAACGTGAAAACCTTCTTGAAATCTGCTATAATTTGGTAACAAATACTACAGTCTGTGAGTGAAGAAGTGGAAGATATAAAGAATTTTTAAGACTTTTTCTTGTCATTTTTAGATATTTTTAAAAGATTTTTAATAGCATCACTTACTTTGACTATCATTGAAAAGAACTTTGCCTTCACTGCTTTAGCAGTCATTCAGCTAATAAAGCAAAATTAACAAATTATTAATTGTAGAATCTAGCCACTGGGTCCAGAGGTATTTGTAAAATTCTTTCACTTTTCTGTTTGCTTAAATATTTTTGTAATATGTGCTAAGGACAAAAAGATAGGATGTCAACCAGCACCTCTCTTTCTCTTCTAAGAGAATGTTTCATTTGAAAATCAAACATCTTGACATTAAAGATCAGGGTCTAGGTAATAACTGAATTACAAGAGGAATCTGGATATTTAAGCAGCTCTTACCGAGGAATAAGAAATGCTGCCTGCCTGGCAGCCCAAAGCTAACCTGGAGAAGCCACAGAAAAGACCCGAAGGTAGAGAAATCTAGAATCTGATTACACATGGGCCAGAGTCACACTGTGACCTTGGGTAAGTAAGTTACCTGTTTTTCCATCTGTGAGATGGGGTTGATAATGCAGGGCTGTTGGGACAAGCAAGCAGATAACTTCCAGGAAGCCCTTTGAGCTTCTTGGAAATAGCACTTGAGATATGATTAGGCGCCAGCCTGCTGCAAAGAAGTGTGCCTGGTGGCAACTGGAATGGTCCCCGTTCGCTTTGAGCAGACGTGCTCATCAGGTTATCAGTCAGTTCAGTTCAGTCTCTCAGTCGTGTCTGACTCTTTGCGACCCCATGGACTATATACAGAGCTCTAAACAGAGCTTTTTTTGTTTTTATATTTAAATGTCAACTTTTAACTTATTTCTTTAAATTTTATTTTATTTTTAACTGGAGGATAATTATTTCCAGTATCGTGATGGTTTCTGCCATACATCAACATGAGTCAGCCACCGTCATACACATGTCCCCTCCCTCTTAAACCTCACTCCCACCCCTCCAGGCTGTCACAGAGCACTGGCTTGGGATTCCCTGCATCATGCAGCAAGTTCCCACTGGCTACCTATTTTACATATGGTCATGTATATGTTTCAATACTATTCTCTCAAGTCATCCCACCCTCTCCCTCTCCCACTGTGACTTCAGAATCTTAAACAGAGCTTTTCAATTCCTCCACCTGGCTTTTTTCATCTCTATTCTTCTTCCCTGAAGCCCCACCACCAGTAGTGACCACGACACCCTCCGTGGCCTACGGCGGTAGACCAAGCCTTCCACCGTCAAGGCCAGCCCCCCCCTCCCCAACAGTCTCTGCCACCATACTTTCTCTGGAAGCGCCTCCCATCATTCCAGCCTTGCTCCTGTCTTCCTCCACAGCCTGAAAGGCCCTCTCCTCCAAACACTACTGCTCTCTCAGCCCAGTCATTTCTTACAGTAAAAATGTCCACCCAAACCAATAATTATTATTACAGATAGTTGCCTCCATGTTATTTGATCGGCCCTGTGCTAAATGCTTAAAAATCGTCATCTCATTTCATCCTCACTCTTACTCTCTCCCCTGAACAACTATTTCTAAGATTAATAGCTACCCACTCAAAAAAACCTTTCCTAACTCATTCCATTAAGATACTTCTTCTGCTGGGTGATTCTCATAAACAACATCATGGAGTCCTCACCATAGCCGGAAAAGATAGGACTTTCTGTTATCACTTCACAGAAGGTCTCCCTTTCCACCTTCTTGGCACTGCCTATCCTACCTGTGCTTCAGTACATTTTCTTTGACTTTGTCAAGAAGCTATTTATCTGTTTCCCTGGTATTTCAAGGGTGTGTAGATCCTTGTGGGGCATGTATTAGGTTAGACTAGCTGCTGTAACAAACAACACTCTCAATGATAGTTTGATTCTCTATAATACTAAGTACAGCAGAAATCAGCAAAAGACTCTGTTCTATACAGTCATTCAGAGGTCTAGGCTCATTCCATTTGGTAGATCTGTCCTGTTCTATGTCCTTGGAATCATCTTTATTTGGCAAATGGATGGGGAAAGAGAGCAAAGAGGATGACCTAGATATTGGGAACATCACTCATGCCCACCAGCTCATGGACATATCTTAACCACAAGGTCTTACCCAACCCCTGGAGACACTGGAAAATGTACATTACTTTTATGTTGGACGCAAACTTTTATTTCCTCATCTGCTAAATAGGGATAAGATTATCGAAGTTGGACCACTGGCATGAGAATTAAACAGCTTGTACCCAAGAGGACAA